CCTTTACAGGACGTTGCAGAACCAACCCCCAGAATTTTTGTTTGGCCGTTGCGTTCTTTTTAGATAAGTGTTACACTAAATAGTTTGCCACTGCTTGTTGAACAGTCAGTTCTCGATACTGTCGAAAAACAACGCAAAATGGTCTGCTGCTAAATGGTCTGCAGCTAGGATCGAGCCCAGCACCCGGCATTACGAAGCGCGTTCTCAACACCTAAGCCACAGACATATCAGGGGTGTTTTATTCGTGAAATCGTATGTGCTGGGTCCATAAGCGTCGAAATCGCAGCCTATGTGTGAACCACAACACAGCCTGCTAACTGCCCTAATAAAAGGGATCGTTGAAGAAGAAGGGATCGAGCCCGAACAGTGGCCTTTTCAAAGGATGTTAATCTTTTAGGCTGAAATCTATGATGGTGGAAATTTAAACAAAAATGTCTTCATCAATGCTATGTTCGGAATTTTCCGTTAACAATCTAGAGTTTTTCGAGATCTGACCTACTAAAAATTGATTCAACGCCAAGCCAACAGAAAAAAAAAAGAGTTGGCGCGGGTTCTATAACACAGGATTTAAGTTACAGGAGACAGTAGAAGATAAATTAGCAACCACGAAGACAGATTGGGCTAACATAACAATGGTCTCACGTAGGGAGAAGTTCACCAGGTCAGTCTTTCGTCTGGAATTCTTTAAGTTTGGGTTTTTATTATTAAAAAGAAAAAAAAAGGGGGGGGGGATCAAATAAAAATGACAATTCTCGGACATCTTTACAAATCTGTATTCCTCAGTCAAAAATGACAATTCTCGGACATCTTTACAAATCTGTATTCCTCAGTCAATCAGCGGGTTCTTTACAGCAGTGCTCATCAACCGCTAGGCCGCGACCTAGTCGTGGGCCGCGGAACAATCCTGTTGGTCCGCACTAAATTTCTTCCTAATGATGTGACGGGTAGGGTAGGTAGTTTTTATCTTCTAAGATTGCAGTCTTGGAATAACACCCAAAAGGATGAGAATCAAAAGATATGTCACATCAGCTGAAAACTGTAATTTCGTGACATTATATTTAAGATATAAACAGTTTATTTTTTTTTCTAGCGTTTGTGTGTGTGCGTGTGTGTTGGTGGGTGAGGAGTTGGGGTGGGCGGCTAACTGTAAAATGAGCAGTGAAAAAATTTCCACTATTGATGGGCCGTGAAGCATTTTCCACTGTTTTAGTGGGCAGTGAAGCAATTTCCACTGTTTTGGTGGACCGTGAAGCAATTTCCACAATACCCCAGCTTTCGGGACAATGTCATGAGTAATGTACAATCTAGGTCATATTAAATAACTCCCTCGAAGTCGGAGTACATCTGCCCCTGAGGCAGGGAACGGCGAAAGCCCAGTAAAACGGTTGTACACGCAAAACTCAGGTCCAGGTAAAAGCCAAAAGTTCAAGCGGACGAGTAACCGGGACCTTCCGCCGGAATTCACAGCCGATGAACGAAGAAGAAGAAGATATTAAATAACCAAAAGTAACTGACAAGCATAAATATCTAATCAAATAGGATTAAATATCCGAATTATAACTCAAATAGGCTTAACATTAATTTTTGTCCAAATGATTACTAATTTATTACTAATTATTTTAAAATTAGACATAGTCAATAATTTTGAGCATTTTATGAGAGAGAATGCACTCGAGAACTTGGTAACAACTGACAAGATTGATGGAAAGAGAGCGAGAAGAAGGCAAAGAGATAAATAGAGGGGCGAGACAGAAACATTGAAATGATCCGTAATTTTGGTGGTCGTGTAAAACAGTCTACGCTTACCGACTCGGCGCATGATGATGACGATGTTGATCATGTTTAAAAAAAAAAAAAATGGTGCGCACCATTTTCGGGAATTGAAGAAAACCAAAACCCGTCTATCTCTTTGATAACTGATATAGTCACAATATGTAAAATATTGTTATGACCAACACTGCAGGATGCATGCACATTTCTGGAAAACAATTCACAAATAACAATTCACAAACTCTGAGTTTTGTGTAATTTACAAGGATTATACATTATAAAGTAAGAACATTACAGCGATAACCCAAAAGATGTTTCGTTCATCATCATCATCATCATAAACCACTTCTGCCGACGTGGGGAGGAATAATAATTTGCGATCCAGTGCACGTTGGCTGCCACTGGCTATTGTCATGCTGTAAAGGCGTAGAGTGTCATTAATGTTGTCGATCCATGTTTTCCGCGGCCGTCCTCTTGCTCTTGTAGCTGATCTTCTGAGATGTAGTGCTTGTGATGGTATTTGATCTTGCGGCATTCTAACAAGATGGCCAAACCACTTAATCTGCTGTTTCTCGATAAATCTAGTACAAGGTGTCGTTCCCACAATTTGCTTGATAGTTTCATTATTCACTCGATCTCTGATGGTTAGGTTGGCTGCTTTTCTCAGGCACCTCATCTCGCAGGTGGTGATTTTGCGAATATGGGCTTTAGATAGTGTCCATGTTTGGCACTGGTCGCTTAATGTTGGAATGAATATGCTATTAATAATCTGTCTCTTCGCACTCATAGTTATGCTTGGATGTCCTAATAATGGTGACAATTGGTATATAAGTGCACTTGCTTTCTGGCATCTGGTTTCTATTTCTCTGTCAATTCTACCATCTTCTGTGATCATACTTCCTAGATATTTAAACTCCCTAACGATTCAGAGCAGAACTATTCAGCTGTATGTGTAGTGGGGCAGGGGTTTTACTAACTTGCATTGTTTCGGGTTTGTTTACATTGATCTTCATGCTGTATTTAGTGCATGCTGAGTTTAACTTGTTAATGTGGTCTTGCAGTCTTCAGGGTGGAACAAGCACTGGACGTCAGCAAATAGTAGTTCGTTTAATGTGGGTGAATCAATAACTTCACCTGTTTCGTTATAAATGAAAAATGTCGACCCTATTATAAACCAGACAATGTGTCATTATTTATTCATTCTCTACGTGTCATGTGGGCAGTGCAATGGATCAGTGTCCGTACCACGAAGGACTGGTTCACAGGGAAGTAAGGCGAGGATGTAGGCGGTTTTTGGACGCGCAGGGAAAAAGATTGGCGGACTTTCAGTCAGTTTGCAGCTGCTACCACCATCGTGGGAATTATTCGATGACTACACAGGAAAGGGGACAGTGCACCGTGAGATTGCCCCGACTGAAGCGATGTCTGTTACTGGTTTATTTATTATTTCCCCACTTGTCTCCTAGCCTGTTTGAGTAAATTTCAGGGTTTTGGCTGACTGGAAAACCAGCTCACATACATGACGTGATACTGGGTGAGAGGTTGATCAACACAGTCTGGTGAGAGTAATGCAGCGAGGAGTGAAGAGGGGATCTAGTCGACATTCGACGCTCAGAAGAAAGGCAAAACTGACACTACTGGTGTTGGCGCTGGCTACTGAAGATAAGGACGAAGGGCTTCTGGGAATGTCCCGGATGCTGTGATTCGGTTCTTGAATCAACCCACCTCAGCTCTATTGTGTGAGGAGAGTATTGGGTCAAAGTGTCTGTGAAACATTCAGAGTTGTGTAGGTTTCTAATCACATTTAGTATGATTTAGTGCTGTCACCACGACTGTGCAAGTGAGGATTATATTTTGCCCCCGACTGAAAAAATCCCCAACCTAAACGAGGATTCGAACCTGTGTCTCCCGCATGAAAGCCCATCGTTCTAACTGTTCGGCCAGCCGCTCCTCAAGCGTGATTTTCTCTTTTAGTTGCGCATCCTTACTAGGACGCTGCAGAACCAACCCCAGCATTTGTGGCTGTTGTGATTTTTCTAGGCACATTTTACATTCAGTAGTTTGCCATTGCTCTTTAAACGGTCAGCTCTCGGTATCAAAGTCGAAAACAACACGAGGTGATCTGCTTCCAGATCGTTCGCAGCTGGGATAGAACCCGTCACCCTGGTATTACGAAGCGCGTTCGCAACGCCCAAGCCACAGACGTCGACTCAAGCATGATAAGTAGATTAAAAAAAAAATTTTTTTTATGTAACGCTACTATAGATCACTAAAACAGATTCTCACACAAAAACAGACAAGTTTAACATTTAAAACTTGGTGTAATATTATATGATTTGGTTTTAAAGATACTAAATCATATCGCACTCATAGGTGATCGGTCTGCAGCAGAAAATGTCGTAATGTATAGGCTCTAATTGTTACAGTTGTTGTACATTGATTGTGAACACGTCGTACACTCATCTCGCCAGTAGATATCTGTAAGTAAGCCAGTCAGTACTTACAAACGTAAGTCGGTCAGTCAGTCACAACATATGAATCCAACCTGTACTAGCTAAAAAGTTATGTACCCCGCTCATTCAACCGAGTCCAGTCTGTGCATGCTTGGATAGGCAGATCCTGACTCACTGAAGACTACTTGGCATTCTGCTACCCTCACTTGGTTTAGCAGGTCTGTCAATACCGTTGCCTAGGGGTGGCAACTGCAGCCTTCTGACAACTACTTGGAGCAGCCGGTGGGATCTGTATGACAGGCTTAACCAGAAGGGAATCACGTGTCCTGCAAAAGGACAGTTACCTACGTAAGCCAGTCAACAGCTAGTAAATACGTACGTTCATACGTTAATTCAGTCCGTTAGAATAAAAGCTAGTCAGTGGTTACTAAAGTCAGTCAGACAGTACACACTTCAGTCATTCAGTCAGTCAGACGGTACACACTTCAGTCATTGAGTCAGCCAGTCTTTACGTTTTACAGTCAGTCAGTAAACATGTATTTCGTCCAGTCAGTCAGTGCGGTTTTTGAATTGTTCCGCCAGTATGTACGAAAGCTAGTCAGTTGCTACAAAAAAAAAAAAAAAGTCAGCCAATTTATCATCAGGGAGTTAACCAGAAGTGAACCAGATAGTCAATCAGCCACATTGACAGCCAGTAAGTCAGTCAATATGTACACCAGTACTTAAGCCAGCCATGAGTAAACATAATATAAAATCGCTGTAAACAATTTTTCAGACATGACAACCAATACCGTGGGAGATGTTGTCAGGGTCGTCATAACGGGCGCCAGCAGTGAGATCGGCTTGATTCTCAGCTACTATATTGCCAGAGGGGATGTGTTCGGACCCAATCAGCGCCTGTTTCTAGTTCTGGTGGAAAGCAGCTCGAAACTCAAACAGCTAAAAAAGGGAACATCGGTAGAGGTAAATGTCGCCAGCTGCTGGTAGTGGCAGGGGTAGCTGGTTGGTTTGATGGTTGTGAACTGTCTGTACCCGCCGAGTTTTGATTAGGCCTTAGAGCTTCGGGCATAGTTCTTGCATAAATTTGCAATAAGGCTCAGATCAAGAGTATATCGTGGATTCTCTGTCCAGGATATTCAGGTGCGTGAGGTAACAGATGGATTAGCTGCTGCCGCTCCTCTGTGCGGTGAGCTACTATAAAATAAAACGGATGTGGTGAAGGCTATATGGGGTCAAATGGACAGTGCAAGAGAATAAATAGGGAATGCATACACTAAAAGACTAATTCAACGAAGAAGGGAAAGGGGTGTAGAGGTTCTGAAAGATATTCACCACTGAAAGGTAAACAGAGGCGGGCTTTTAATCAGGTAGCAACTGATACCATTAGCATGTTGACTCTTCTTTGGTTACTGAAGGAGGGGACGGAGCACTTATGGAAATGTCCCGAGTGCAGTGATGTCAGTTCTTGATTGATTGATTCATTCATCGGTTTCTGGTTGATTTTGGTTTTATAGAGCTCTGTGGTCTTGTCCATTGAGTTTTCTAGTCACAGTTTGTATTGTATTTAGTGCTCCTTTGATAAAGACTGGTCAAAATGTTCATTTGTGTACAGTGCGCGTCTTTTCCATTCCCTTCGTCGTTTTTTAAATGTTGTATTTAGCACATCTTGTCGCCAGCTCGACTGCTCACGTCGTAACTTTAGTATTTCAGCGTGTTCGTACCAGTCAATAGCTCCTTGAATCAAATATAAACGACGAACAGATGGCTCTACCGATCCGTTTGTCAAGTTAGGGCAGCTACCTGAAGGTAATAGTCCCCCTTTAGTTTAAACTCACTCAGTCCAGACGGCTGATCAGCAAGGCAGATCCCAGATACCCTGTTCAACTTACAACTTTGTTATAAAAGAAGAAACGGAAGGATAAGTCTGTACTTATTCTTACCGGCGTCTGTGGCTTAGGCGTTGCGAATGCGCTTCGTAATGCTGGAGTACCGGGTTCGATCTCAGCTGCGGACGGTTTGTATTGAGTTGGTTTCGACAGTGATACCAAGAGCTGACCGTCCAGTGAGCAATGGTAAACTACTGAATGTAAAATTTTTCTAGAAAAACCACAACAGCCAAAAAACGCTGGGGTTGGTTCTGCAAAGGATACGCAACTTACTTGATTGTTACCTTGTAGTTTTCCCATAAAAGCACAGCCAGACATACTTTATCATGTAACAGGTCCTTTGCAGAACGTCGCTCTCAGTACGGTTTGTCTGAAAGAAACTCGGTCTCTCGCCAGCTCTCCCGCCTCGTCTACTTGAATATTCAAGAGGTCATATCCTGTGCCCATTGTCGTGTTGGTCGGTCCCTGCCTCTCCTTCCTGTTACCATGCCTTCTGCTATTATTGTTTTCTTCAAATCCGTCATGCCGCTCGATATGAGCAGAATATTTCGGCTTCCGAGACAATATGTTGTTTACTAGCCAATCTTCCTCGATGTTCAGATCTTTTAAAATGTCAGTTTTTCTTCTTTTCTTTGTCCATGGTATTCTTAGAATATTTTTTTTTTCAGCATTCAGTTCAAAAGCCCATATTTTCTTTCGTAAGGACTGGGAGATAGTCAACGACTCACATCTGTATGTTGCTACAGGGGAGATAGTCAACGACTCACATCTGTATGTTGCTACAGGGGAGATAGTCAACGACTCACATCCGTATGTTGCTACAGGGGAGATAGTCAACCACTCACATCCGTATGTTGCTACAGGGGAGATAGTCAACGACTCACATCTGTATGTTGCTACAGGGGAGATAGTCAACCACTCACATCTGTATGTTGCTACAGGGGAGATAGTCAACGACTCACATCTGTATGTTGCTACAGGGGAGATAGTCAACGACTCACATCTGTATGTTGCTACAGGGGAGATAGTCAACGACTCACATCTGTATGTTGCTACAGGGGAGATAGTCAACGACTCACATCTGTATGTTGCTACAGGGGAGATAGTCAACGACTCACATCTGTATGTTGCTACAGGGGGAGATAGTCAACGACTCACATCTGTATGTTGCTACAGGGAGATAGTCAACGACTCACATCTGTATGTTGCTACAGGGGAGATAGTCAACGACTCACATCTGTATGTTGCTACACAGGGAGATAGTCAACGACTCACATCTGTATGTTGCTACAGGGGAGATAGTCAACGACTCACATCTGTATGTTGCTACAGGGGAGATAGTCAACGACTCACATTCGTATGTTGCTACAGGGGAGATAGTCAACGACTCACATCCGTTTGTTGCTACAGCGAAGATGCATGTTCTAAAAATTTCGATTTTGATTTCCTTGCTGGTGCCATAGACTTTTAATACATATACATACAAACATAGCTAATTAGACAAACTGACGGACATTAGTTTATCTACACAGATAGCCACCAGGAATGGGTGGAGGGACAGAAATACACAAAAGTATCAGTTGTCGGGGTCTGTAGCTTAAGCATTTGAACGCACTTCGTAATGCCGTGGTGCTGTATTTGATTCCAGCCGCGGACGATTTGTCTTGCGTTGGTTTCGACAGTGGGACGGAGAGCTGATAGTTAAGGAAGTAATGGAAATCTACAGGCCGTGACATGTGCCTAGAAAAACCACAACATCAACAACAACCAAAAAAAAAAGTTGGGGTTGGTTCTGCAACGTCCTGTAAAGGATACGCAACTAACTAGCTAATCATATGTCCACCTGCTAGTGAGCCAGCCCTCCTATTTAGTAAAGTAAAAAATAAAGGTCCCTATACACGGCAGTGGCGCATGGTGAATACACGGCTAGATTCATATTTGTACAGTACAAACAACTCTCTACGGTCAACATCCCGCCGGTCGCCTTTACTTCTTAGAATTTACCTGGTGCCCATTTGAGTTTGACTCGACCTGGGAGGCAAGGGCATATGTGAAAAACATCCAGCTCCTTGCGGGTTTGAATCCACGACCTTTGGATCTGCAGGCGGGCGTCTCGCCGCTACACCACAGTGACTCCTCCAGCCATCACATTGCTCGTGTGTATTTCTATCTGTCTAAACCAGCTGGGCATGTGTGGCCTCCACTTGATCCACGGACAGAAGTGCACCCACGTACTCGATGAAGCTTTCAAAGACGCCGATGTGATTTTCCTCGTCTCCGGGATCCAGTCGTCTCCGGGTCTCTCCAGAAACGACATCATCGGAGTCAACGCCCTTGAATACAAAGTCAGGCTTTTACCTTTGCTGATTCATTTTAAACAAGAAAAGTAACACTAATACATCAAAGGACTCATTTCCGCGGCCTTCCCTCCCCCCCCCCCCTCACCCAAGCGTATTAGGCATTCTGTCATAGACCTATATATTATAGACCAGTCAGCAGTCAGGTTTGTGTGTGTGTGTATGGGGGTGGGGGGGGGGGGGGGAGAGTAATTTTCTCAACATCAGTACCAGTTATGTGAGTCAACAAAAAAATAGTGCTTCGGAAAATGACACATTGCAGTTCTGGAAGTCAACCCCCAAAAAAAAGTGCTTTGAAAAAATACTTTCGAGTTCTGTAAGTCAAATATTGGTTCGGAAAAAAAAAAAAACCAGTCAGTTTAAAAATAAAAGTGCTCGTGAAAATAAAACTTGCAGGTTCTGTTAAGTCAAACAGTGATTTTGAAAATAAAGTACACAGCTAGTTAGAATCTGGCGCTCCAAAGCAAATTTTCCTGGCACTTCTGTAATTAATTAGGCCATTCATTAGGACGTAATTAATTTTTAATGACCCGAGAATTTTAAATAACGAAAGATCGAACAAAGAGTCAGAAGTAAACTGGGGCTGTGGAAACAAAATCTGATTCCGGTTTCGGATTTAGTGTACACAGAACACGAAGTGACATGTTGAGGATACACTTATTTTTAACAAATGTAATTATAGAATGAATAATGAAATACATTGGAATTTAAAGCACGTATTTACTTCGGCGAAGCTATTCGCGGCAGGTGGAATATTACAGTGAACTTCAAAAATAGAAATAGCACCAGAGAGTTTAGAAAAATCTCGTAAGTATGCAGTTTAAATAGACAGATTTTAAAAATGATATTTAGTGTCAAATCTATTCAATCAGCAAGAAAATTTTTGGAATTTGGGGTGGGCCGTGTTCCCCCTCCTCCTTTCCACTCCACACACACACAACACAAACGCCCGCGCACACACGCACATACACACCTCTTCCATAAAATGTGAGAGGGTGTAAGGACACCACTATCCCCTCCCTTCACGATCAAGTTCTCCAACGTCGTATTGTAACATTACATATTATTTCTGTATATTAGTATAAATTAAATTAATTAATATACACATTACCATGTCCTCTAACACTGTCACAACTTTGGCCATAAGAAAGATCGTCGCTAGTCAAACATTACGGGTAGCTGAGTGAATTACAAAAGACAGTGAAGTTCATACTAGAGACAGCATTGCAGATATAGATAATTTATTTCAAGCGAACGAAAGAAGAAGATAAAGAATACTAAATTAAGATGCTGACGAGCCAGTACACTTATATACCAGCTGACACTGTTATTAAGACATCCAAACGTAAGTATGAGCGCCAAGAACAGCACATACATACCAACACTGTGCTACCAGTGCCAGACTTGGACACTATCAAAGGCTAACCTACGTAAAATTAACACCTGTGAATTGAGATGTTTGTGAATTGTTTGACAGAAATTAAAAGGAGGATGGCCACAGCAATGCAAAGATTAAACAGCCTAAAAAGTCTATGGCTAAGCAACAGCAAGGAGATCAAAATTAGAATTTCGAGAGCATGCATCTTCCCTGTAGCAACATACTGATGTGAGTCGTAGACTATCTCCCAGTCCTTAAGAAAGAAAATACGGGCTTTTGAGATGAAATGCTATAGATAGATTCTCAGAATATCTTGGACCAAAAAGTGGAGAAATACTGACATCTTGAAAGATTTGAACATCAAGGAAGATTGCCTAATAAACAGCATCCTGTCTCGGAAGCTGAAATATTTTGGTCATATCAAGCACCACGACGGATTTTAAAAAAATAATAGCAGAAGGCATGGTACCAGGAAGGAGAGGCAGGGGCCGACCAAGACGAAGAGAGGCACAGAATATAAGTGACTCCTTGAGTATGAAAGTACACGAGTCGGGAGAGCTGGCGGGAGACAGTTTCTTTTGCGCAGACCGTGATGAGAGCGACATTCTACAAAGGACCTGCTACATGATGATGATGGTGATGAATTGAGATGCTTGAGAAAAGCCGCCAACTCAGCCATCCGAGACACAATTAGAAATGATAATATTAGACAGACTGTAGGAATAACACCGAGCAATTGAGAAACAAGATCAAATGGTTTACTCATTTAGTAAGAATGCAGCCAGAACAACTACCAACGCTGGCTCTACTCGTTGATTTGATTTGATTCGATTTGATTCAAAAACCGACATCACAGCACTCGGGGCATTCCCATAAGCGCTCCGTCCCCATCAGCAGCCAGCCAAGAGTTCTGATACTAATAGTGCCAGTAGCATTCTCATTAAACGTCCGTCTTGCCTTTCCTCTGAGTTTCAAGCATCTGCCAGAACCTCCCGTCACTCCCTGCTGCATCCATCTCACCAGACTGTGGTGATCCACCTGCTCTTCCGAACTGTACACGCTCTCCCACAAGGCACTAACCACGTCTGCCTTATCATGCATCAGTATTCCACCAAGTTGTGCAGAGCCAGCCAATCTGTCCGCCTGTTCATTTCCCAAAACACCGGCGTGCCTCGGTGAAAAAAATCCAGACAATACTCCTTACCCGTGTCCTCCGCAGCGAAGCATGCCACTCTGCACAAAGCATACCTGTTCTTCTTCTTCTTCTTCGCGTTCACCAGCTGTACACTCTGGAGGAAAGTTCTGGTTGCTCGTCCACTAATGAACTGCAGTCCTGCACCAGAACCTGAGTGTTGGGTGTGCATCAGTTTTACAGATCTCCTTCTCTTTAATACAGACTGTTGGTTTCTTGCCTCTCCGGCAGATGCACTCCGACTTCAAAGGAAACTCCCAAATTATTCGACTCTTACGACATGCTTTTGGGGAGGTAGTGGGTCTATTCTTGTTTTCCCTACAATGGGGCCCCGGAACCTACACAGGGGATACCTGTTCTGATCTTCCTCAGCATGCTTTCTGAATCAGTTAGAATCACGATGTGTGTGTGTGTGTGTGTGTGTGTGTGTGTGTGTGTGTGTGTCGTGTTTTCTAGCCAGTGGGCGCTACTCGTGAATCGATCTAAAGTGAAAACAAGAGGCCGCCATAAGAGAACATGGACTGATGACATTAAAGAGCTTCTACATTGACACGGAATGACAGTAGCCATTGCTGCCCATCAAGCAACTGATCGAAAAACTGTTCTTCCCCACAACGCTTAACGGCAGAAGTGGAAATTGATGATTACGATGATGATGATGATTAATGACTGAAGATGTTTTGGCTGATAGCTTTAAAAAGTGCTAACAATTTAAGTTTTCAGTTACGGGTGCCCAGTCTGAGGAGTCGCTAGCCGAACGGTTAGAAGGTTGGGCTTTCGTTCAGGAGACAGGGGTTCAAGTCCTCAGTAAGGCTGGGGATGTTTTCTGTCAGGGGCAAAATGAAACCCTCACCTGCACAGGCCCACCCCCACCCTCCACCCCCCCCCGCCTACACCGCCCCCGCCTACACCGCCCCAGCCTACACCGCCCCAGCCTACACCACCCTCGCCTACAAAGCCCAACCCCGCCTACACCGCCCCCCGCCTACACCGCCCCCGCCTACACCCCCCCGCCTACACACACAACCCCGCCTACACACACCACCCCCCCCCCTACACCCCCCGCCTACACACACCCCCCGCCTACACCGCCCCCGCCTACACCGCCCCGCCTACACCGCCCCCCGCCCGCCTACACCGCCCCCCCCCCCGCCCGACTACACCGCAAAAATAGTATAATAAAGGCAGTAATTAGCAGTTGGTGCTCATTTTAGGCTGCAGAGATGTTAGGTTGTCAGCTACTGCACTAGGCATGCGACCCTAAAGCTACAGGGCTGCACCCCCTCCCCTCCCCCAACCACTCAGATCCTCCTCTCATCAAATAAGGCCCTTAAAATTGGTAACTAATTGCAGTAAAGACAAACATCAAGGAGGAAAATAACTTTTCATTTTTAATCACACAATGAATAGCTATATTTTATCCTCGTTCTTTTTCTGACTTGAGTTATGAGTTGGATTATCTTCACAGCACTCCGGACACACTCACAGTTGCGCAGATTCCCCTTTCAACATATTTATCACGGTTAATTGTGCCTAGACCGATTCTGGTTGACAAAGCTTCGTGTGCGTCATATGTGCTTCTCATGCTTGCCTGTGTCGATCTTTACTCCTAATTCTTGTATTCTTAGCAGCTGACACTCTCTCTAGACAAATTTGAAGCGGGATTAGTGGACCAAGATAACCATGTATTTAGGCGTTCTTTTTAAGTATTTGTTTACAATTTCATGTATTTATTATATTTGTGTGACGTTCAGAACATTATTATTATTATTATTATTATCATCATCATTATTATTGATCACTTAAAGAAGCCTAAGCCTGTTGTATTTCCCCGTAAAGTAACGGTTATGTCATGGGAAATAAAGGCGGCCTGTGTAATACTGACCACATCACCCACCAAGTGCCGATTTTTCTATAAGAAATAGGTCTAGCCCTATGTGCCTGAAAGATTTGAAGGCGTGGAAAGGGGTACTTTACTTATATATATATATATAATATATATATCATATATTATATATATATTATATATATATAATGAAAAAGTATTCTTCCTTTCTTAGCCTTCACCAGCTGCAAACTCCACAGAAAGGTTCAGGTTGTTCGTCCACTTCTAAACTTTGGTGTTGTCCCTGAACTCTAGTTTTGCGTGACGCCGGTTGTCTTTACTTCCCCAGGACATCCATCCTGGTACCCATTTAAGGCTGGGTCGACCTACGACGCCCCATACCATGATAAAAATGGGGCCAGCAGTGGATTTCAATCTCGGTACATTGGAATTACGCAACGCTGGAGTCACTGGCGCCTGATTTCCCCCGGCCCATAAAACATTACAAGAGAACTGAGGCGCCCCTCGTAGATGTTTTGTTCGTGTAACCGCTCCTGCACTTACATAGTGTAATTTGCAGTACTGTTCTGTGT